TTACTTTGGCAAAGAACCAAATGTCATTATTCAACCTTACACCAAAGAACAAATTAATTGGCTCATGCAAACCACTGAGTCTTGGCCCATAGCTTTGACTTCCTATGCTGGCCTCATTGAAAATCATTACCCCTCCAATAAGCTTATTGACTTTGCTAACAGACATGAGTTTGTTTTTCCCACTGTCACAAAGTTCCAACCATTGTGCGATGCCTTGTTGGTCTTTACTGATGGCTCTTCAATGGGCATGGTGGCCTATACGTGTCAAAATGAAACCTTTTCCTTCCCTACCAATTGCTCATCCGCCCAGATAACCGAGTTAAATGCTGTCCTGGCAGTCCTCTCTATTTTTCCTAATCAGCCCCTCAATATTTACACAGATAGCTCCTATATCGCACAGTCTATGCATTTATTGGAAACTTCCGCCCGAATAAGACACGTCTCTCAGGCTGGAGCCCTATTCTCTGAACTGCAAAAATGTATTACCAATAGAACTCAACCCTTCTTTATAGGACACTTACGTGCTCATTCAGGCCTTCCAGGACCCCTAGCTGAAGGAAACCATAAAACTGACCTTGCCACTTGTTTAACAATATACCCACATGCCTTTATCTGTTCTACTACAGACAAGATTGCCTTAGCACAAAAAAGCCATAAGCTACATCATCTTAATGCCCAAACCCTCTGCTTGATGCATAAGATTACCCAAGAACAAGCTAGACAAATTGTCAAAAATTGCCCCTCCTGTGCCACACACCTACCTGTTCCACATTTTGGAGTTAACCCGAGAGGATTGACACCAAATGCGTTATGGCAGATGGATGTTACTCACATATCAGAATTTGGCAACCTTAAATATGCCCATGTAACTGTAGACACATTTAGTGGCTTTATTTATGCCTCCCTTCAGACAGGTGAGGCTACTAGGCATGTCATTAATCATCTACTGATCGCCATGTCAGTTCTGGGATGCCCACAACAGCTCAAAATCGATAATGGTCCAGGTTATACCAGTTCTGCTTTTGCTCAATTCTGTAAAAATCTCAATATTTGCCATATAACGGGCATTCCCTACAACCCTCAAGGTCAAGGAATTGTTGAAAGGGCTCACCTTTCCCTCAAACTCACCATTGAAAAAATAAAAAAGGGGGATTGGTACCCTACAAAAGGGTCCCCTCGGAATATTCTCTCTCATGCCCTATTTATCCTCAACTTTTTAAACTTGGACGCTAACAGGCAATCAGCAGCCACTCATTTTTGGCACACAGAAATGCAAACAAAGTTTGCTTCTGTGTTATGGAAAGATCCTTTAACAAATTCATGGAATGGCCTGACCCAGTGCTCATTTCGGGTCGTGGATCAATATGCATCTATTCTAAGCAAATGAAATCTGCACGCTGGCTGCCAGAATGCCTAGTCAAACAAATAGATCAAGTCCAGCAAATAGAGGATGACCCTATAAATGACTCCAGGGAAAGATGTTCCCTGAGAGACCATTTCTCTTTCTCCACAGAACAAGATGACAAAAATGTCAATTCTGATGATAGTAACCCTGATGACCCTGGCACCAACCTGTAGGAGCAGCCTGGAGGGCCCACTGCCTAAAGGTCAACTATACCTCACACTGTTTGGAAACCCTTGTGATTGCAAAGGCGGCGTGTTTACAGATGATCCATACTCTGGTGGTAAGACTGTTACTCAGCAGGTGAGTTGTGGACAAAAGACAGCATTCCTCACCCAATTTGCCTCCAGCTCAACCCAAGTTTGGAGATGTAAAGCTGAACCCAGACCCATCCCAAGACAAAAAGATGGTAAACCTGGGCCTTGTCCTTCAACATGTTCTTCTTATCAATATGAAATGCATTCCAGTTGCTATGACAACTATCAGGAATGCACAAGGCCCAAAAATATTACCTATTTCACTGCTACCCTATCAAAACCTTATGCTGGAACCTTCAGAGGTGACTGGGCTAGAGCCCTGCAGGCCTTTGGGTTACATACATATGCCCAGGCCTCTTGTAAAGGAACCCCTGGCCAGTTGGTATGCTGGCACAAAAGTCCCCTTGTCCATGTTTCAGATGGGGGCGGCCCTCAAGACCAAATCAGAGAATTATTGGTCCAGAAAAGGATCCAAGAGATCATAGACCAATTATTCCCAAAGATTCGATACCATCCCTTAATACTTCCTAAATCTAGAAATATAGACTTGGATCAATACACATCAGATATTTTGATAGCTACCCATAAGGCTCTCAATGCCTCCAACCCCGAGCTGGCTAAAGACTGCTGGCTATGCATGGTCTCTGGCACTCCCATGCCCATTGCTATTCCATCCAATTCTAACTCCCCTTCTATAAAACCTGGCAATTGCTCCTTCAGTTTGCCTTTCAGAGTTCAACATTTGGGTTTCAAAAATCCCTCCTGCGTTCAAGGAAAATTTAACAATGACACATCTGACGTTGATGTTGGCTTTGTTACATTTACTGTCTGTAGACATATAACCAATTATAGCTCACCCCTCTCCCCGCCAAAAGGACAAGTTTTCGTTTGTGGAGGAAATATAGCTCTAACCTTCCTCCCTACCAATTGGACAGGACTATGTGTGATGGCCACCTTATTACCTGACATAGATATCATACCAGGAGATGAACCTGTTCCCATCCCTACCTTTGACTATATCACAGGCTGATCTAAAAGAGCAGTTCAATTTATCCCTCTGTTGGTAGGCCTAGGCATCTCCGGAGCCTTAGCTACAGGATCAACAGGAATGGGAATTGCGATACACTCTCATATTAAACTGTTGATGACATCCAAACCCTGTCTAGTACTATTCAGGATGTTCAAGATAAATTAGATTCTCTTGTGGAGGTAGTCCTCCAAAATAGAAGAGGGTTAGATCTCCTCACAGCAGAACAGGGAGGGATCTGCTTGGCTTTACAGGAACATTGCTGCTTCTATGCAAACAAATCCAGGATCATCCAAGACAAAATCAAAAAACTTCAAGAGGACCTGGTAAAAAGAAAGGAGCTATTTGACAATCCCTTTTGGAGTGCCTGGAATGGGATATTGCCCTACCTCCTCCCCTTACTCAGGCCCCTCACAGGGTTCCTAGTTATACTATCTCCGGGACCCTGCCTCTTTAACAGGCTAATGGCCTTTGTTAGACAACAGATTAATACCATAAAACTACAACCCCTACAGGTCCATTACCATAGACTTGAAATGACTGATATAGAAAGCTACTCAAATTGTAACAGATATGCACATGATGTCACTGAGCCTTAAGTGTCTTGGCTTTCTCACCTTGGTGCGATAGACTGATAGTCAGAGACGGGCAACTGGGACTCACGTGTCACCAACCACCGCCTAAGACAGGAACTGGGCCTTATGCTGTCCAGCCTTCCAATGACAGGTAAGGTAGAGTTGGGGTG